TTGGAAGAGTGATGTTAAACAAATTTGATCGGAGAATAAATAGGAAGAAACAATCTCTTTTACCTTATTCTTTCGCAATGTATGCGCGAGTGTTAATATGCCATTGAATGTGATCCTGTTCTTGGATAAGTTCAATTTTGAACATTGTCTGTGAATGATAATCTCACTGACTACAATGTCCATGTCTGAATCTGTTAAATCCATTGATTTTACATCAATTTCTTTGTGCTGTTTGAAAAAGCGAGCAAGATGTTCTTCAAGACGAGGGTTGGGTAACGCAGCTGGAAGTAACTTTTTTGATAAGGAAACTGTTGAGATAGGTTGAAAATGAATGTTATTCATTGTAATATTTGTTGAAAAATGTATCGTCGATGAAAATGCATTTAAAAAATCATAGGCTGGTTCAATTTCTTTCAATTCAACAACGTGAAGACCTTTTCCTTGATCGACAGAGTTCACCACATTGAATTGACAGGCAGGGGGAAGCAATACTTCGCCTTCATCTTCATACATTGAATGTCGATGAATATCTTTACCCGAATAACAATTGATAATGAATAAAGTTCTTTGATCAGTCTTGTTGGGAAAAAGTATCTTCTCCAATTGATTGCTTTTCTTTATGCATGCAGAGAAGCTTCTCCATACAACCGTTGTACTTGTAGGATATTTGGCAGACAAGTCCATATTGGCACCTCGATAAACAGTCATAGGAGTCGAAGGAAGATGAGAGATAGCAGTCAAGATTAGTCTGAGAAAAAGAAGCCAAGGTCTTAATTGTTTCGTATTTTGAGAACGAAGAGCTTTGTTAAAAATATAAAAACAATGAGTTCTCTTTAGGTTGCCATTCCAGTGAATACAATCTAATTGAATTTGACTCATTCCTAGTCAAACCGTCTTCTGGTTCACCACATTTCGCTTTGACTGTCTGAATCATTTGTTGGATGTTCAGCACGAGGGGACCTAGTGGGATGACAGCCTCATTCAGTGAAACGAGCAGTGTATTCTTATAGTCTTGAATGGATGAAAACATTCCTTGTGGCTCTTCATCCACATCCAAGAATCGGAAAGCATATTTGGGTTCATCGAAATCTCTAGCAGTCATGTGGACAAATTGAGATCTAAAACAAAAGTATATCTCACTCTGTTTTCCATAAAGAGCTCCTCGTATTCTCTTCACATCTTGAATTAAGAAGAACGAGGATACTTTGAGCAATGGTGGGCACAAATGAAGTTCTTTTTTTTGCTGAGCTGGCAAGAAAAGATTCGTTTTACGAGAAGACACCATTCGTTCTTATCTGCAAGATACAAGCACACCACTGGATGCAATTATGTTTGCTTCACCTATACACATTTCTGTTTTAAAATCCAACACCTTACAGGCTGTTGCTCGTTCCGTTAGAAGCAAAAGAATTGTTTGTTAGACGCACATATCAACAATTTGAATAAAGAAAAGAAAAGCTCTTGAGAGTCGTGATAACACTCCACCTTTCACGAAATATTTTTCGCAAACAACAGCCCAGTTTAGAAGCGCAGCTGATTCCTCTTGAGGATGAATGTTTGGCTGAGCCACTAATCGAGCTATGCAGCCCTCAAAGTAAAAATGTAGAGCGCTTAACCAAGTTTGAAATCATCATTTCATGTAAACAAGTATGCATATTTCTGTGCCCATAGTATGGGGCCCATACTATCATAGGAAAATGATATAATCGAAATAAAATGTAATAAAACAAACAAACATTCGAATGCAGGCATATAACCAAACAGAACTCATACTCTTATATGCTATGACCACTGTTCATATTAACCGAATTTAATCGAAAAGATGGACATCCTTTCTCTCTTTACATACGCCAGAATTGAAAAAAAAACCAGTCACCATGTAAAATAGTCTTTTCTCTCAGTTTGATAACGTTTATATTGACTATTATCTTCTGTGATGATGACGTGAGAGAGAGATCAAATATTACCTTTTAACTTAAGACAAGACGCCAATAGGTAAAACAAAACATTCACGCCGTACTGACACACAGCATTCACCGAACAAGCTCTCTACTGGAGAAACAATGGGAGCATCATCTTCAAACACATCTCAATCAACTGATGAAAATCTCGAGACATTATCTCTCGTTTGGCTTGATGCTGAGATTAATAACTCAAGAGAAAATGTCGAAGTACAAAGACGACTTCGATCAATAATTAACTATCTGAAAACATTCCACAATGCAGAAGAATGCGAGAAATATATTCGATCGGTACCCGATGGTGATAGAATGTTATTCATTGTAAGCGGAGGATTAGGTCGAGAGATAGTACCTCGCATTCATAAGCTTCGACAAATTCTCTCGATCTATGTCTTCTGTTTTGACAGAAAGAAACATGAAGAATGGACTCAAAATTTTACTAAGGTAATTCTTTAATAAGTTGTAATGTTTTGTACCCAATTCAATTATTTTTGGGACGTAATTCATTCCAGCCGGTACATGTCGATTCGGTTCGCCTACTCACACGGATTGAGATACATTGCAAACAAATCAGGATTTTCATGGATGTGTAGACAATGATTATTGATATGAGACCAGTTTGATCTTCTTATCCCATGTAAAAATAAAAAGGTATTTAACGGAGTAGTTTCTGGAATTAACGTCAAAACTGGCGTTAAATGACAAGTTAACGGACTTTCATGAGAAAAATTTCATGAAATTCGTTATTTTTCACGAACTCGTAGAAACGCGTTAACTTTTTCACGACTTTTCATGCGTGACTGACATTTTAACGGTCATTAACTCGTTAGGAGCTGTTCGGAAATCGCGTGATCAGGTACGGGAAGGCAGGGGTGCCGAAAAGAGCACACCTGATCACTAGGAGGAGAAAGGGGATCAGACCTACTGATCACGTGATCATATTCATAAAGTATTTTTTGTTTTTTTTATAACCCCCCCCCCAGAATAAAAGGCCATGGCCTTATACCAGATTCAGCGGCAAAATCTGACCTTAATTTTACTTTAAACTTTTCTCCTTAAATCCAGCTGGCAAAGGATGGCAGATTTTGGTCATTTTGAAATGCATTTGGGATGAAAGATTTCTCAGTGCTCATTTTGATTTGAACGCCCTTCGAACTGCATAACGAGAAAGAGCGCATTTCAAAGTACTCACATACGTCTTCACTTTTGCTTCGTTGTCTCTAGAGTTGGTTAAAATACTCGAAAGTTTGCAAATCAAAATAGCTTAGAAAGTTGGTCAGTTTCTCCGTGTTGAATATTCTTTCTCTCTTCGTTTATTTATTTTTTCGTAACTTTATATAGAAAAAAGATTTGCCAAGTTTATGTAGAGAATTTCATGGCGCATCTTTGTCAAAATACAGAGGTTCATTATTCATGAGCCACCCGATATCTATTTAACTAACTAACTATCAAATCTATCTATCTACTCAGGCAGACAAACAATCCTCCAAAACGCGTTTAAACGCCCAGAATATTTTGGCGCTTTTGAATGATCTAACCAGTGGTCCATAAAGGATCAGTCACTTTGTATTTTACTCATATATCAGTTCTATTTTGTTCTTTAAGCTTTATTTTTCACCAAAAGATGCGCCGTGAAATTCTCTACAAAATCGTTGGTCGGATTTTATTTCACCTGTAAATACGATCCTAGATACTTAAATATTCGAGATAATAACAACGTTTAACTTTGTGAGTATGTTTTTTCGAGTAAATTTTGTCTTTTGCAAAACTTAAAGAAAAATAGTAAAACGAATCTGGATATTTTATTTCAGAACCGAAACTGTGCTCTATTCAGCGGCGTCGAATACATTTCTCTAATGTAGTTCTTCTGACGGCGAGAATTACTATTCCCATTTTTGGCATCAGACTCGATCATCAATGACGTTGAGCGTAACAGACTTTTGAATCGAAAGATTATTAATTTTTTAGTATCGATATAATAGATTAACTACAGTTATAGCTGATCTATACGCATAAGGGTATAGGTATAAGAATATAGATATTTGGGCATTGTGTAAAAGCATAATAATAAGTATATAGGTATAAGGGTATAGATGTAAGGGTATAGTGGTAAAAACCTAGCTTTAGTAAAGTAGTAAAGTCAAGGGGGGAAAGCGGGACTTCCGTACTTCGGTTGTACTTCACTCGTACTTCACTTGTACTTTCCTCGTACGTCAAAGTATGGGAGTCCCACTTTTCCCCCTTGATTCAAATACATATGCATCAACTCGGTTTTCTGTGCTGATTACAAATATGATATTTTTTTAAGTCAAACGGGGATTATTCTGTTCGAAAACCATGGAATATTAATCAAAACTGATAGAAATTGGGTCTCATGAGTCGTATTAGAGCAAAAGGGATTTACTAGACGTTGAATTTCAAGTTCAAAAAAATGTTAGTTTATGTAATGCTGGTCCCTTGATTGAATATTGTTATTTTTAACTAATCTTACCATGTTATATGTCGTTAAATATCGAACATGTTTTCGCGCGTGAAATATTTTAATGCGTTTTGTTGAATTTGCTTAAACTTTGATAAACGGTTTTGCACGGAACTCTTTTTGCGTGGGCGGGATTTCAAAGATTTTTTACCCCCAAAGCCGGGCCCCTAAAACGCATGCACACGAGGCCCACCACCCAAAGG